CTAATAGTCATGGGTGGCTCTCATGCAGTTAAAAAAATCTCTGAAACATGTCCAGCCAGATTAGGATATAGGTTTCTACAAAAGCTCCTGGTTTACAGAAAAAAAACTGAAATGTTAAAAAAGAACGATGAGGGGGAAAAAACCAAAGTAAACAAATGTTTACAAATGCTCATGAAAGCTGGTGTGGTGTGGTGGTTACGGTGTTGGGAGTGGGACCTGGGACAACTGGGTTTGAATCCCTGCTTTGCCATGGAAGCTTGTTGGGTGATCCTGGGCCTATCACAATCTCTCAACCAAACCTACCTCACAAGATTGTTGTGATGAAGGTATTGTGGAGGAGCAGAAAATGATGTGAAAAGCTGCTTTGGGTTCCCATCAGGAAGAAAAGTGGGATATAAAATAAATAAGCATAATAAATCTGCTCCGTTATTGTGCACGTGGGGAATGGAGTTTGGAAATGGTGGGGATGCGAGAAACATAGCAAGTGAGAGCAGACAGAGGTGCTGGGGAAATGAAGAGGAGGCAGGAAGATACAGCCAGGAGCAGTAGGGCCAACAAAGCAGGGACGGCACTTCCTCTCTTCCACAAGTTCCCGTGGGCCTCCACTTTGTATTCTCTAGAGTACCAATCAAACCTCATTACATGCCATCCCCAGGCAGCTATCTCGCTTATGTACCTGCCCTTGTCACCATGCTAACACCTTGCATAACTAATTATTTACATGTACATACATACTGTATGCAAAACCACTATATGTAAACTTGGCTGCACGGACATCTGTAATATCATAATGGACCATGGCAGACAGAGATGTCAGCACTAACAGACAACGAAATCAGGAGAGAAAAGTACAAAGGAAATGACACTGGGAGGAGAAGAGGCAGAGGTTCTGTGAAATAGTCAAAGAGACTGAATGGGCCCATTGTGGCACATGGTTCACCTAACTGTGGAACAAAGTCATACAATCCTATAAGCATGTAAGAACTAAATTACCTGTGCAATTGAAAAACGTAGGGTGATTGTTTTTCCATCCTTGAGAAGACTCTGTAGTTTTTTGCTATGAAGAATGTTGTCCATGTATGTCCAAAGCTTCTCAATAATTTCATCTGACAATTCAAGTTTCTTGTTGTAACAAGAAACCAGTGTATGACTCACCCAATCCAGTAAGACCTATGTTCCAAAAAATAAAAAGATGACATTTTAGAACATGTAGACAGATCAAGATGGGTAACCATGTTTGTCTGTAGCAGCAGAAAAGAGTAAACAGCAGTAGAGAAGAGTCCAGTAACACCTTAAAGACTAACAAAATTTGTGGTAGGATATGAGCTTTTGTGAGTCCCCAATCACTTTTTCAGTCTCTGAAACATTTTGTTTTTCATTTTTTTTAGTCTTTTAAGGTTTTGAGTGACTGCTTAAAAGCTGGATCCTGCTTTCACAAACTAACCATATCTAGAATAAACCATTGTTATGTCTGAACCAAGCCAAAACAAAAGATGTCTGAAAGCATATGACACAGCCCTACTGCTGAAGCTCAACAGGTCTGGCCTTCCCTGCAGACTGCCTGGATTGGAGGCTGTTCGAGATCCCCAGAGAAACACAGCAGTTCAGAATGTTGGGACTATAACTGAGAAGTCCCAATTTAAACCTCACTGTGTAATGGAACTTGCTGGATGACTTTTGGCCAGTCACTTTCTCTCAGCCTGATCTGTTTCAAGGCTGTTGTGAGGATAAACTGAAGAAAATCATATGCTACCCTGAGAGCTGGATAAAGTGCATAGGTAAGCAACTCTTAGGAGGGAAAGCATGCAATGAGTGCAATAAATAAGTAGTATCCCCATTTGCGGACAGGAAGCCTGTCACATCCCAAATCTGGAGTACTCTTTCTGGTGGGGGGAGGGGGGAACAGAGAAAAGCCTCCTAGCTGGCTAGTAGTGGCTGAATAAAGTCTGGCTGAATTTGTCTGAAAAAAGAGTGTGCGAAAGTATTCTATTTGTGTGGTATTTATTTTTCCCTTTGTTTTATCAGCCACTTTGTGTCCCCATTGGGGAGAAAAGCAAGATACAAAATGATAAATAAATAATTTCATGTGCTTAGTGAAGTTTTTGTCTGTTGCTTTCTTTTTAAACCAATGGTTCCACACACACTGCAAAAGCACTTTGTGATGGTGGAATGGGGAGGGAAGGAGAATGGACCGCTCATGTTCACAGCCTAAGTGTACTGGTGTGTACATGCAGAAGACTCTAAGCGGATGGGACTCTGAGTGCACAGGGGCCAGGAACAATCAAGAAGTGCAGTCAGTAAGCATATCCCTGTCCCCCTTTTCCACTTACTTACACACAAAGATAATCCGATCAACAATAGACAGGCAGAGTAATACAGAAATACATACTGTAAAAGCAGTCAGCTCAAGATCAGAGGGCAAATAATGGAATCACCAGCCTTGTAAATAAGCCCTCAGAATCTACTAATTCACAAAAATGCATTGAACCCATCTATCCCTAGTGGAATTTAAACATGCTGACAACCTGAATATATTTTTCAAAATTAAACATATTAAAGGACTCATGCATTATATCACAACATTTGGGGAAAACATTTTCCTCCAAATTGGTGGGATCCATTACTTGTTCTTTATTTGGAAGGAAACACTGATGAGAAATCCATGCAAACTGAGCCAACTTGAGTTTGTCCTCCCAAGATGTCTTTGAGCTTTTCAGCTTCAGGTGAATGCCAGAGTAAATCGCAGCCATGGAGATATTGCCTGAAATGTCAAACATATTTTTGAAAGGGTTCAGTTATTGTATTATTTGTACTACAAACCCACGCTGTTTCTTGCCACTGAAATATCTCTTCAAGGCAGTTCTGTATATTTATTTGGATTTGTACTATTAACAAACGCCCTATCCATCTGTGAAATGAAGGTAAAAATCCTCATCTACTTTACAGGTTGTAAAGACTACTGAGATAATATGCTAAGCACTCTGTACTCTCAAAACATACTATATAAATACCAATTATCTTTATCATCATCAACTAGATCATAAGAAAATTCAATATGGAAAAAATGAAATAGAAATAATAGCACCATAACAGAAGTGGGCCTTGAGCTTCTAAGTACTCCAACAGAACAAAAGGATGTTTTGCAGCCTCTCTTCTTTTCTATTTATTTAGAGGAGCATTTGTGAAACTGAGGTCCAAGGACCACTGTATGTCTGTAAAGGACAGAGTACGAATCCTTCTGGTAACCATCTGGCCAACGTGAAAATTAAGCCTTCTGAGTTAACTAGGAATAAGGGGCAGCCTTCCCGCTAAGCTGAGTTAGTGCGAGCTAGCTCACAGTTTTCTAGCCTCTGGCTCACACATTTTTGTCTTAGCTCAGGAAGGATGGCTCCAGAGCAAACTAATTTATGCAGTAGCCAAATCGCTTGCTCACAGCTTCAATGCCAGTAGCTTACAAAGTAAAATTTTTGCTCACAAGACTCCACAGCTTAGAGGGAGCATTGATAAGGGGCATGGATGCTCCATCCCAGGGGCAGAGGGCTTCCCCCTCTTTTAAAGGGTGGAAGCTCATAAAGCCTGCAGTCACCATACAGCACTAACCAGAAAATACACTGATTTGTTGCCAGAAATTTCAGAGCTCAGCCATAGAACTCTAATTAATTGAATGCCTTCCAAGGAGGTACAGTTGTAATGCAGTCATAGCCAATGCTCCCTCTAAGCTGTGGAGTCTTGTGAGCAAAAATTCTACTTTGTGAGCTACTGGCTTTAAAGTTGAGAGTGAGCGATTTGGCTACTGAATAAATTAGTTTGCTCTGAAGCCATCTAAGACCAAAATGTTTGAGCTGGAGGCTAAAAAACTGTGAGCTAGCTCACACTAACTCAGCTTAGAGGGAACACTGGCATAGCTAATTCTGGCCTGTATTTCAGCATAGTGATAGAAATACCACTCTGTACCCATGGACAATAACAACCAATTGCAGTTTTCAATTGAATACCAGGTCATTTTTGTATGACACTGATCTTTTTTAGTTTCTGTGCTGAGCTCTCAACATTCTTCCAAGTCACTTCCCAATTGTTTTCACTCAGCCTCTGGCTCTAAATTTTTTATTAGTATGAAAGTTTCTTTGTTCCTCTAGCACAAAGTGCCTTCCAACCATGAGGTACTGTGAGGTTGATTCGAACTTGAGAAGACAGGGCCTTGTGGCCCTTCAAAATCAGCCACCCTCTGAAACTGAAAAAATGAGGGTCTGTGGAATGTGGTTAATAATCAAAATAGGGGTCCCCCAATCTACTGAAGTTTGAGAACCAGCTTAACCCATAGCAGAGATCATAGGTACAGGGCTTTTTTTAGGAAACCGAATTCGCTCCATCGCGTATTCCTTCTATTCCTAGCAAACTCTAGTTCTACGGCAGCTCTTCCTCCAACTTCAGTACTGTTGAAGTAAAGGACAGAACCAACAGCGACATTTCTTGCATCACCTAATACACATAGCTATTAGAGCGCATGTTTCTTTTGATGAGACATCACTGCATACTTGAGTGTAGAACTGAGCCTAAACCACCACGGGACACTTCTATGGAGACTTTCCCTAATCACGACTCCCCGTTAATACTGCACACATTCCTATTCCGTAACACCAACTCAGCGGCTGCTGGTCCGCGCACTCACTCACCGCAGAGGCACCTCCTGCTCTTATTCGCGGCTCCACGCTTCTAGTACTCTAGCCCTACCCCTTGCCCGGTCCCTCCGCGCACGTGCGTCTTCTTCCGGCACATCCAAATTCTCTCCTCTCCATAACCTTTCGTCGCACCAACGAGTTGGATGACGGAGAGCACCGATTGGCAGGCATTGCTAGTCGAAAGCCGAGTTGAGAACTTTCCCATTGGTTGGTGGCCTGCGCCTGCGCACTAACCTTCTTTCCCTCCCTCGTTCCTCCAGTCGTGCTCGCTCGCCTCCTTCTCTGTGTCAGTCCGTCAATCATGGAGCGGCTGCTAGCAGCCGCAGCGGCAGGAAGAGCAGCCACCCCACCAGCAATAGCAGTCCGGGACGTCCAAGCCAGCCGTTTTAGCAGGAGCGCGAGCGACGAGAAAAAGCTGCGCGCGCCGGGCTCCGCGGTAGCAGCGGCGGCGGCGTCTCGCGCCACTGGGCGCAGTGATTGACGGCGCGAGCGAGTCCAGGAATTCTGTCTCGTGCCTGCAGCAGGAGTCACACACAGCCTCTCGCTCTCACTCTTCTCCTCCCCGCCTGCGATGCTCCAGTGAGTGCTTCTCTCCTTTTCCTCCCTTTGCGCATGCAGCAGCAGCAGCGGTAGCTGCTGTTCCCGGGCGGGTAGAGCGGCGGGATGAGCCAAGTGTGGCGCGCGGAAGGGCCCTCCCTGGCTGGAGGCGGGCAGTCGTCTTCTTCCCGCAGCTGCCACTTCTGCCTCTGTCCATCTACGCACCGCAGAGGTGCCGGCAGGCAGAGTTGAGCTTCTGTGGCCCCGTCTTTCCTTAGTGCATCCTGGCTCCTCTTTCCCGAGCTTCCCGTTTTTCTCCTTTCCCACATTTCTTCTGTGCAAGTGCATTGAGGAGAAAAGGCGGCGATACCTTTTTCTACAGCTCTGCACTATCTGCAAAGTTTGGAGCAAGAAGGGGCTTCGATCTTTGAAACCTCTTTGTTGAATAGGGTGGTGTGGAGTGGGGGTAGGGATTGCAATTGGTGGTGTGCCATCAATGTACTCGGTAGTTAAGAGACTTACCCAAAGTATTGATATGTCTGTTCTAATATGCTTACACTCAACCATGTGTTTTGGCAGTTTATAGTGGTGGTTGCATCTACTGTGGCACATGAAAAATTGCTGTGCCACTTGTAGTAAGCAAATAATATCATGTACACAACAAATACGGCTATCTCTGTGTGGAGGAGAAGACCGACAAGTCTCTCTGATTATCCTTCATGGTAGCAATTGGAGATAGCTCCCCTAAATGCATGTGTGTGGATAATGGAAGAGAAATTACTCTGTTGCCAAATTATTTGAGGTATTCGGTCATGTAATTCACAGAACTCCCAAATCCTCCACTTAGATTGTAGGTAGCAGACTGCCTTAATTTTTGCAAATTTAGTCTCAGATGTGGAGAAAGATGTGACATCTGTTGTTTAACCATCCAAAGTTGGCTGCTTGGTGGGGTGTTGAAGGTAAAACTTTGCCTATTTTTCTCCCTGCATTTTGGATCAAAGTGAATGTTAGATCTAAGCAGATCTTAGCCACATTGCTTTTGGATTTGTCAGAATCAGCATTAGAAATCTTGGGAGCAGTCTCAGTGGGTCTCCAGTCATGTTCAGAAATAACTTATGGGTCATGTATTGAAAATAAAGTTGCTCCAGTGAGCCTGATTCTCAGTGAAGACAACTCATAACTTTTCCATTTATTCTTCTTGTATATAAGAACCAGTGCATGGTCTGAAAAGGCCCCGGTCACACAAGCCGGATATCGCGGGGGGGAGGCGTGGCTAATTGCCCTGGCACAGTTTGATGCACGATTACGCGATCAGACGCACCGGCGGCACACCAGGGGTCCTTCCCTCGGTGCTGGCGGGTAAACGAGGGACCCGGAGGGGAATGCCGCACGCCAGCGCGATCACACCACGGGCGTCTGGAGGCAGCCCGTGGCAAACGTTTACTAGTACCTTGGAGGCACTAGTTTTTTTAAGGCGCATTGTCTGCAGTAAGCCACGGGTACGCTCCGCTTCCCAGATGTTGGGGTGTGATCACGCCCGGATAATCCACCCACCATCCGTGCCTCTCCCGCGGCAACTTTGCCATGTGACCGGGGCCATAATGTAGCAATCTTGTAGAAGCTAAGCAGGCTTGGGTCTGGTCAGTGTCTGGGTGGCAACTACCTATGAATGTTTCCTTGAGGTTGCTGGAGAACAAGTGGGATGTATATGTAACCAATGAACCAATGTGGCTGAATAAACTCTTCTCAAAAGTTCTTATACCCAGAATTATTTTCTTTTACATTGCCTCATTAACTTTTTTGGCAATCTCTGTAGTTCTAATTGACACTCAGATTCTATTATATGTCTTTGTAGCCTATGCATTGTGGAAAAATTAGAATTTTCTTTTAAGTTTATAAATATGGACAATAGCAATAACATCTGTAAAGAATAAAAATGAACTTGAAAGTGAAATGTATTTTTGACCTTCTCCAGAAAAAGAAACTGCTGAACAAGTTGATGTGCTGTAACAGATTATGAAACTTAAACGATGCAGCTAGTTTCCATTGTGTTTAATTTTTATCTTTCACTGTCTTCATTTTTCACATTTCAGACTGAAAGGTTGAAGAAGTAGGGTAAATAGTGCAGAGTAATTGCATCTGTTTAGGACCAGCAATATGCCAATTGTCAACTGCAAAGAACTCTGACATAATATTACTGTACTTGCTTATGGTTAAAATAATGCCCTATGAACATTCCATATCTGAGCCCTCTGTATGTAGTAAGAAATCTAAAGCCAGTCTAGACTCTAAAATTGTCACCAATATCAGGTCAGGACCAAGTGTCCTCAGCCCTAAAAGCACTTCTGTACCATAAGGCTACTCCATTCCTCTCAGTTGGACTAATGCACATTTAATGTTTTGGAGATAGCTTCCAATGTGCATTTTAAGGGATGCATCTTGTACTCCAGAAATATTTGGGATGAACAGTGGGAATGCTTAGTCATAGTATCCTACAAGTTTCTAATGTGGCAGCTGTGCATCAAGAAATTACGGTCCTAACCACTTCATGTTATTGCCATCTCTTAGTGACCCAAACCTGCTTCCTTTTCTTTTGGAGGTCATGAAACGTGTACGCTCAGAACAGATTCAGTTGGCAGTTTCCTGCTACCTCAAACGCCGGCAGTATATAGACTCAGAAGGCCCTCCGAAACAAGGACTGCGCCTCTGTCAGACTGCAGAAGAAATGGCAGCTAATCTAACAGGTAACCAACAAAATTTCTTTAGGCATTCATAGGAACAGAGGAAGGCAAGTTTCTGTGAAGCTTTCTCTTCAGTAGAGTGAAACGACTAAGCGCTAATTAGAAAGCAACTAGAACACAAATAATGATGGGATTCTGTGGCACCCAGGTGCAACACAGCTGTGTCCAAAGGCTGAAAAGTTGTAAATACCCCCCCCCCGGGGGGGGGTTAAGATTTCCACCATATGATAATGTCTTAAGCAGAGAGATCAGACTTTACTAACTCTGATACTTGAGACAAGACTGCACAGAACTATGAAACATGCAGCAGGCATGTTGTCATTCCCAAGTGTTCTGAAATGACTCAGCTGAGAACTATGTGCCTAAACTATTAAATCCTGTGTTTTTTAATGAAATGGGACTAAACGATTTAGACCTCCTTCTGTAGGTCATATCAACAAACTATTAGAGCTAAACAGTAGAGTCCTTAGTTTCTTTGTTACATAAAATTTACAATAAATATCACTCCTCCTCCCCAGTCCTCCTTCAGAGGACGGCGGAAAACAGGAGGGCCTGGCGAGATCTTGTCCATGGGGTTGCGAAGGGTCGGACTCGACTGTGTGACTGAACAACAACCTCCCCAGTAGTTAGTGTTCATGCACTTGGGCTATACTCTAACTCTCAAATGAACCAGAATTTTTCCTGATTTATTGTTGGGCTTATCTGTGCTATCTCTCTCTGTTTCTGGTGTCTAAATGTGGGCCTTACAATAAGTTAGACTATTTTCCCCACTACCTGTGATTTTGCAATGATGTCATCCTGGTTTAGAATCCCTGTTACAGGGTGCCATGACCAATGCTCCCTCTAAGCTGTGGAGTCTTGTGAGCGAAAATTTTACTTTGTGAGCCACCGGCATTAAAGTTGTGAACAAGCAATTTAGCTGTTGCATAAATTAGTTTGCTCTGGAGCCATCCTTCCTGAGCTAAGACAAAAATGTGTGAGCCAGAGGCTAAAAAACTGTGAGCTAGCTCACACTAACTCAGCTTAGAAGGAACACTGGTCATGACCCCAGGGGTCACCACCTTCCACCGCCACCACTCTGGACTTCGGGTCCCTTGAGAAGGCCCAGAGTACCCTCCCAAGCCCATCCAAAAAGCCCCCTTTTTAAGGCGAGGACATAGGCATGATGACCAGGCAGAGAACACTTAAACAAAGGGTTTATTAACACAGTACTGGGGCAAGGAACACAAGACAAGGTGCTATAAAAGGCAAAATAAATCTAACGCGACTACCTAGATCACTGAACTGGTAACTACTTCAAGGCCCACAGCCGTCTTAGACCAGGACTCCTGCCAGGATCTTTCTCCTCAGACCAGACTGTCCCCTCTGTGAGACAAGACCGCAGAAGAGCAAAAGAACAGTTTTTCACAGTTAACAGCTTAAGTCAGAATCTCCTCACAGAATCTCTGGAAACTGATTGGCTACAAACCATTGCTAAGCCTTATGGGGATTGTAGGCTGTCTACTTTCCACTCCCACACTGGTCTCTCCTGGGACCAGGCTGCACTAGGCCTTGCTCCCAGTCCTGCACAGATCATGACACAGGGAAAGAAAGAAACACCAGTTTTTTAAAAAAGCAGTTGCATTCAGACATTACAAGAAGTTGGAATTAGATCAACGATTCTGGAACCCACAAAGTCTTCAGTGGGGCACTGCGCACAAAAGTTGAAGGGAAGGAGCACATAAGCCCAACGATAAACCAGGCTTGTGCCCGTCAGAGCTTGGGTTATTTCATGCTGGAATGCAGCCTAATCATCAGGTCAAATGCTCTTGCCTGTTCGAATAGCTGCTTGATCACCAACTATTTCTTTCTGGTTAAAAGGCCCAGGAAAACTAATCAATTTTGGAAATGCATGGAAACTGAATGAATTCCTGTGTGAGAGTAAAGTAGATGCAGGGGGAGAGCAGCATATAGTGTACTGGGCTCCTTGGAGGTCAACCGGAATAAATACTTGGTACACGGACAGATCCTCCCTATCCTTCAAGGATCTCAGGGTGTGTCCATGGCTCTCTTCTCCCTCATTTTATTTGCATAGCCACCTTGGGAGGTAGCTTAGGCTGAAAGAAAGTGACTGTCCTAAGGTCACACAGTGAGTTATCATAGGAAGGAGGGATTTGATCACTAGCCTCTACACAGCACCAGTCTGAAGTCTTCCATTGCCGCTCCAAGCATGAGGGGAAGAGCAAATATGCAAAGACAGGGAGAACACACAAGTTGAGCAGTGGTATTATTTAGAAGCTATAAGTAAATACATAAGCAGTGATGCTCCAGTTTGGAGGCAGTTAATAGGCTTTAGAATGAGTGGTGCTGGCAGCTAGCCGAGTACAAATAACTTAATATTTAAGAGCTCAAACCTACTAAGAGGTGTTTAATTCTGACACAGGCCCCCAGTGTAGCACCCATATGGGCTCCATGAGGCCCTCCAGCACTTTTCCTGGTGCCCACCGAGTGTCTTTAAAGAGTGGGTGGGTGGGGTGTTGCCCAGCACGGCTTCTGATTGGCCACTGGAGAACTGGTTGGCTATGCGGATTTTTAAAAGTGTTGTTTCAGGGCAGCTGCCATCACAGTGTTGATTTTATTCTCTCTTTCCTCTTCCACACTGTATTTTTTAAAATTGCCCCTCTGTCTCCTGTGGCAGCCATGCTGTGCCCAGCACCCTGTGTCAGAAGTACATAGGTGTCCATGGGCATCAAAGGATTGGGGGCCGCTGGTCTATCAGATACTTCTTAGCTTCCATAGGATTGAAGCTTAGACATTAAAATTGTAGTATTGAGTTAACTTTGCATGCTGCAGTGAAATTTAGAAACTTATACCATTTAAATGTGCATTTTGAGGTAAAGATTTCCAAAATTCTTGGGGTGTTGGTGGTTACTGAGACACCAACCCCATAGGAACAGATTCTCATACTACGTCTTTGCTTTTTAGCTCTGCGAAGTTGTCATGGGCAGCGGCTAGAAAGGTTCTCTAATGGCTGTCACCACTCTGGTATGGGCCTCCTTAGGAGGGCCCAGAGCACCCACGCTGCCTCTTGATAGACTCCTTTTCCAGTAGGTTTCCCCTTATAAATGACCGAATGAGGCGTGAGGACCCAGGCAGAGTAACAAACTATTTTTATTAAAGAGATCTAACAACAACTGTAATTCAGTAACATGTAGGAAAAATGAGCACAGTAAAGGTAGGTAAACCAGCAAAATAAAAACCCTATCACCTCTGACTATACTGTACCTAGCCTTCCCTAGGTATTTGACCTCAAGCTGACCCCTTTTGGTTGAGGGGTCCCTCCATCTGCAGCAGCTTCACACTAGCTCTGCTTGCTCGGAGTGAACAGCCTCCCACTTCGGGCAAAACCTTTTACCACTTCTTCCCGGGCAACACCCTTTACTATTCTACTGGTGTAAGTTTTCCCTCCAAATTTCCTGTAGCCAATCACAGGGTCCAGAGGGAGACCTAGGAAATGTAGGCCCTGATAACTACTCTAGTACAGGCTTCCATGGAACCACTAGGTCTCTCTAGAGCCTGTAGGTTGCACTACTATAGGCCTACGATCATGACAGAAGTATTCTCTATTTTTGTGATAGGCATGCTGGAATTTTGGGCTGTGTATCTCTTAGGGCTTGGGCATGTGTATTTGGGGACAGCCTTGGCATATGTTTCTCCAAAACAGCGGTACACTTCAAATGTAACCAGTGCATATAACTGAGACCCAAACACAGTGTAACCTTGACCACTGTTTGTCTTTACGCAACTGGAGGGTTAAGTGTCTTTGTTGAACACACTTTTTTTATACATCTATAATGAATTGTATCTTACAAAAGTGTTGCTAGAAGGCATGGAAGAGAGGCTAGCAATATAAGGTCAAATAGAAGAATGATTTTGAGACATAATTCCACTGTCAAACTAGAGGTTTTTTAAGCATGCATACAAACTTGATTAATTGCCAGGCTTCCACACCCCTTTGTACAATGTGCCAAGACTGAAGTCTTTTCACTAACCCCAATTAGTAATGATGCTCAAACGGAGGCACTTTCAGCAAACTGAAGTTAGTTTCTGAAGTAATTTGAGAATATGTGCCTCCAGGCAGGAGAGGAAACATTCTTCTTTGTGTCACCATCACCCTCTTTGATCTCCTTTATGAATATGTTCGTGAGAGAAATTGTGAATGCATTACCAAAAAAGAATTGAGGGAAGAACCTGAGTTTAATGGGTCACATTCAATATGTAGTGCAAGTTGTTTGTAGCAGACTATTCTGTATACTCCCAATGTGTCTCAAATCTTTTCCATTGCTGATTATCATTGAGTAGCTTTTCTGAAACACATACTTCAGAATCTCTTTTTGTAAAATCCCTCGAGTGCCATCTACTCTAGACAAAATAAAGTCTGCCAGAACTTAATTGACTATGAATCCGTTGGTGTTTGTAAAGAAACTGGTGCTGGACTATGGTAATAGCTCTACTGCATAATCCTCTGCACAGACTGTAATCTAGAAATATAGGGGAGAAAATATTCACAAGTGTAGGAAAAACATTCAGTACTTAATCTTATTGGAGAGTTGTATAAAGGCTGGATCAATTACTGCCTCTTTGATTGCTCGACAAGCAGTGAGTCTCTACTGAACATACAAATGATCTTAACAAAACATACTCAGTTGGTTCTTACTAAGCATAACAGCAAGCACATCACCATCACAGATGTTTCCTCCTTCCCCCAGCCATGTCCTTGGACCTCAGAAAAGATGGTGTTCAGAGTCTTGTGGACAAATGTGATGAGCACAGGGGACTCTGGAAGAAGAAGAAGCCATTGACGAGATCACTCCCCAGCACCCTCTTTGCTCCCACTCTAGGCTGGCTCTGTGGTTCACCACAGATCTCTGGCTGATGAAGTGGAAGCTAAGACAGCTAGAGAGACAATGGCGGCATGCTCATGACGAAGCTACAAGAGCATCCTATAGGTCATTTATGAGGACCTATGAGATGGCAGTTTAGGCCGCTATGTGCCCTCAATTGCATTTGTGAACTTGTGCCCGGCCCAATTATTTAGAACGATTCGGTCTCTAACTACTCTGTCACAGGGCAGGCCAAATGCTAGAGAATTGGATTTTGGCCGTGAGGCTTTTGCAAGCTTTTTCACAGATAAAGTCTTGTTGCTCCGCCATGACCTCCCCACCACAATTGAGACAGTAAGTGAACTCGAGGCCCCGTGCACGTCTTCTAGTCAGGTTGTGGATCATTTCGCTCAGCTCAGCCAAGAGGAAGTTGACAGAATACTCTCAACTGTACGCCCAACCATGTGCAGCCTTGACCCATGCCCATCATGGCTAATTAAAGCTGGCCATGGTGGGCTGCGAGGTCCCCTAAGGGAAACTATCAACAAGTCCCTTTCTGAAGGAACTTTCCCTAGGGCACTTAAGGAAGCAGTGGTTTGCCTTCTCCGTAAAGAAACCACCTCTGGAACTGTCTGAATTGGCAAATTATTGACCGGTCTCCAACTTGCCCTATTTGGGCAAGATTATTGAGAGGGCGGTGGCAATTCAGTTGCAGAGTTTTCTGGACAACACTGCTATACTAGATCCATTCTAGTCCGGCTTTCACCCAGGCCATGGGATGGAGACGGTACTGGTTGCCCTCATGGATGACCTCTGAAGGCATCTGGATCAGGGCAGGTCGGTGGTACTGTTGTTGTTAGATCTGTCGGCAGTGTTAGACATGGTCGACGCATCAGCTACTGATCCACTGCCTTGCTGATGCTGGGATTCAGGGGTCTGTCTTGCAGTGGCTCTCCTCTTTCCTTCAAGGTCGAGGACAGAGGGTGGTGCTAGGGTAGCAACTGTCCTGAAGATACCTGCTGGTTTGCGGAGTGCCACAGGGGTCTATCCTCTCCTCTCCCCTTGCCCAGATTGCCCAGAGGCATGGGCTGGGATGTCACAAGTATGCAGATGACACCCAGCTCTATCTGTTGTTGGGCGGCCAGTCCAACTCCAGACTGGAAGATCTGGACCTGGCACTACAGGCCGTAGCTGGATGGCTTAGACTGAGCTGACTGATATTGAATCAGACGAAGACGGAGGTCCTGTGTTTGAGTCGTGGCATTCGATGGGGCGCCACTAGTGCCAACGTCTGAGGTTAGGAGTTCGGGAGTGCTCTTGGATGCCTCCATAATGATGGAGGCCCAGGTAGCAGCCACTGCTAAGTCGACCTTTTACCATCTTCGGCTGATTAGGCAGTTGGTTCCCTTCTGCGAATGCAGTGACCTGGCAACAGTGATCCACACACTGGTCACCTCAAGATTGGACTACTGTAATGCTCTCTACATGTGGCTGCCATTGTCCCAAATCCGGAAGCTGCAGCTAGTGCAGAATGTGGCGGCCAGGCTGTTATTTGGTCTCCCTTTGATGGAGAACATTCAGCCTGCGCTGAAAGCACTGCACTGGCTACCTATAGCAAACCAGGTTCACTTCAAGGGTGCTGGTTCTTACCTATAAAGCCCTATATGGCCAGGGGCCTGCATACCTGAGGGACCGCTTCTCCCCACATGTTCCCCAGAGAGTACTATGGTCAAGGTCACAAAATCTCCTTGTTCTCCCTGTCCCAAAAGATGCCAGGCTGGCCACAACTAGGGGTAAAGCTTTCTCGGTAGCTATCCCGCTTCGGTGTAATGAGCTCCCAGAGGACATTAGGGCCCTGCGGGATTTACTACAATTCCATAGGGCCTGGAAGACGGAGCTGTTCCACCAAGCATTTGACTGAGGTGCTGCATTTAATAGTGCAGGAACCTGAGGAACCTGTGCCCTGCAATACGTTCTTGGCTGCCTGGTCCTGTGCAAACATGTACACCCATGTTAGTGAATAATAGGTACAGGGCCAGACACCAGCCTTACATCTATTGATGACTAGATTCCATTGTGATTATTAAGGCTGGCTGGTGGACAGTTATTTTGCCATCATATAATTGTAGCACCTTATGAACTGTTTTTATGATTTTAATTTTTTTTACTGTTTTAATCTTGTATAGTACCATTGGGTCTGTAAGCTGCCCTGAGCCTGCTTTGGCGGGGAGGGCGGGGTATTAATCAAATAAATAAATAAGAACTGGACGTCATCACCTCCCCACACTTTTGCTGGTAGAGCTTCTGTTGGCACGAGAGAGAGATTGGGATGATATTGTCCAACTCCTCTTCCTTTGTGGGGTTTTACGTGACTCTGAACATCAGCTTTTCAGAGACTTCGGGGGGGAAAGAGGAGATGCTAGAAGTCCATAAGTACCATTGTGCTTTTGGGAAACATCCCATTACATTTGAGATGGTATCTGGTGGTCCAAAGTCTCTGTTGGTGGTGCTTGGTTGGTGATAGCTGTTTCAGATATAGAAGTCCTCGTTTCGTGGTGCATATTCAGCTGGTGATGGTATATGCAATCTTGTACTGCATTTTGCAGGTAGCTTCTCAGATGGGTAGCATGTTCACTAATCAGATTTCAGTGTGTAAATTAAAATACAGATTTTTAAATAAGGGGATCGACATATTGGGTGCATTCAGACGGCATGCTGAGAGCGGTTTAAACTGGTCCGGTTCTGACGCGATTACCTTTGATCTGGATAATCGTGATCACACTTACCTCCCTTATTCCGCCTCACCGCGCAGTCACATTGCTCCCCGGCATCTACACTATTATTATTATTTTATTATTTTATTACATTTATACCCCGCCCTCCCCGCGAGGTACCAATGCACGGGAGCGTGTCGACGGGTTTTTTTCTGTTTGCACATGCACATAGGCGCTCATCCGTAGAATGGAGGAAAACTATCATGGCACATGCGCAGAACTACCAGTGCGAATCAATCCAATCCCTCCAACAAAAGACTTCCCTTTAAACTTTTGACCCGAAAATGGCCTCCATGAGATCCCAAACTCATCTAAACACTAAAACGAGTGACCGTTTAAACGTCGATTTTATAGACGTGGTAGCAGAGCTCCGCCTATGCGCACACCACCAACGCTAAAAAAAATGGTGGGTGAAAAGTGGAAGCCTCAGGCTTCCGCAGCAGCTTTCGAGCAGGGAGGGGGGTTTAAACCACCTGAAGTGGCTTGACACCGGAGGAGCGATCACACGGGAAAAATGTGGCTTTAAACGGGAGAACTGAGAAAACACCACTTGGGACCTGGTAACAAAATACTCCGGGTTAAAGGGGGTTTTGAGCCAGAAACCAACAGCTGGGGATGGGAGGCAGATGTTGACTGTGTGATCATGCATATAAAATCCGTTGTTGAACAGTCACGGCACCAGATCAAATGGCGCGTCTGAATGCACCCATTGTTAGCCTGTTGCCTGGTGTGCCAGCAGCCAGTGATGAACACAGCCAGTGGGATTCCAGACGCAGACAGAACTTTATTACAATAAAGGGGACCCCTCAGCAGCAAAACCCCAAAGAATCTGTTTGTAAGGTATCAGCATTAACTTTTTATACAGTGCGACAAACAACTTTGAGACATGCACAGGTGTCTTAAGATTGCACATTTAAAACTTCCTTTATGTCTATATAAGTTCATTTGCCAAGCATATGTTTTCCTTTCACCTTATTTGGAATAGTCCAGAAATAGTAATGTTTTTCTATAAACCTTACAGAACCGTTTCCTCAGTTGTTAGCTACTGTCCTGCTTAATCAGCTGTCCTGGAACGTCTTATCTTCTTGCCCACTTCACCACATCCTGTTTTGCACCATAGCTGAAATTAGCTTAACTTGCCCATCAATATGAAACACCCCAACAGGTACAACAATATTGCTTGTGGAGGTGAAGGGAACAAATGAGCACTCAGTCACTAAAGGACAAATGGTACAGTTTAATGACATTGAAAATCTTGCATTTGCTCCTTGATTTCTGGGCAGCTCATGTGCTGGATTATTTTTGGGTAAGCTGTTCATGCAATTATTTGGGCTTATTTTTGGGCTGCTACTGCTTTGTCAAAATGCTTCGTGTGTTCATGTTTTGTGTTGTCCTTGGGCTTACTATGTCTTCTTTATTAACCTTTGTTCCCGTAGTTCAATCGGAATCGGGTTGTGCCAACATTGTCTCTGCGGCACCCTGCCTAGCAGAGCCACAACAATATGAAGTACAGTTTGGGCGATTGCGCAGTTTTCTTACAGGTGGGTAGCATCTCGAGTGGGTGTATCCAGCTCAGAGCTTGATAAACATGTATGTCAGATTTCACCGCTGGACTATCCCTCCCCCCCGTTATTCTCTTGAGGGTTTTCTTCCATTGTCTGTTCCTACATCATCTGTGGCATTTGTTATTGAAGGTACATACTTTGCACCTTTGTTGATTCTCAGTGTCCTCTGTGGGGAGGCTTTATTGTCTGTTGCAAAAGCAAGAACATAGAAAGGAAGCATGCAGTATAAGCACAAATTGGTATTCTCTCACAAGATAAAGAAAGGGGATAGTGGGAAGAGAGGTTAGGTTCTGAGGAGGGCAGAACACTTCACTTGCTTGCCTTCTGCCTGCAGTTTCTCCAATAACTTTTATAGTATGTGTGAACATAAGAACATAAGAGATGCCAATGTTGGATCAGGCCAAAGGCCCATCTAGTCCAACACTCTGTATCACACAGTGGCCAGAAATACCAGTGCCATCAGGAGGTCCACCAGTGGGGCCAGGACATTAGAAGCCCTCCCACTGTTGACCCCCCCCCCAAGCACCAAGAAGACAGAGCATCACTTGCCCCAGATCCCCTATCTATACCTTGTGGCTAATAGCCACTGATGGACCTCTGCTCCATATGCTTATCTAATTCCCTTTTGAAGCCGTCCATGCTTGTAGCCGCCACCACTTCCTGTGGCAGTGAATTCCATGTGTTAATCACTCTTTGGGTAAAGAAGTACTTCCCTTTATCCGTTCTAACCTGACCGCTCAGCAATTTCATGGAGTGCCCACGAGTTCTTGTATTGTGAGAAAGGGAGAAAAGTACCTCTTTCTCTACCTGCTCTTTGTGCATTGGCCTGGGAGAAGAGAACAGCCTCCCTGTTATTCCTGCATGTAAAGCCTGTATGCTGTGATACAGGCTACAGCACTTTTCCCCCAAGTTGGAAAGAACACCACAGAGCTCTCCTAGCTGTCTGTGTCAAGAGGTACAATCCGAGTTCCATACAGTTCTTCGAGCCAGGTGATAGCACTGCACTGGGGTGGGGAAAAGAGGGGAACAGACAAGCAGGTGAGGCAAATAGTAGGCTTTGCAAGGCTGAAGAAGGAGCCCTACTTAACAAGAGAAGTTAAAAGTTTTCCATAGCCATCCCAGGAAGGAAAGAAAATGTTTAGATGGCATCAAATTTGTTAGTAGAATCTACTGATAACGTAAATACCTCCGCTGCAGAATTCCCCCCCCCCCAACTCGCAAATCTGTAATGCTAGCCCAGAGTGGCACAATATATGTCACCCGTGGCATAGGGAGGAAAGTGGCCCCATGAAGGTGCTGGAATGGAGTAGGGCGGATATGTAGATTAGTCCACGTGGAACAGTGTACCTGAATCAGGAATTCATCACATTGTGTTCTTGGAGCTACTATTTGGATTTATTTTGGTCAGGAGGCAGAAAGCAAGCAAGCAGAGGCAGAGATAAAATTCTGAGGCACAGCTTGTAATAGTACTTCTCAAAAGAAACTGTTACTGATGACAAATGAGTATACTCCCAGGCCAGAGGCATGTCCTGAAATGCACCAAATGTTATTCATTGAAAAAACAACAGGCTCCCTCCAAAACTGGGTTAATTGAATTCTGAAACTCATCTTGGAAAGAAAACTCTATACATAATTAAAAGTTAAATATGGACAGTAGCAGGTAGAAGAGCTCTTGTATAAGATGAGTTTTAGAAGTCCTGTGCATGCATATAGTGTCATACGGTGTATGTTTTAGAAGCACTAACAAAGACTGTCCTTAAAGGGGGCTTGTCCTGCTTTTGTTGGAATCCCTGGAGAGGATGTAATGGCATAACGTATGGTTTCTTTGGCTTTGGTTTTAGAGTCGGATTCTCAGCATAGCCATGAAGTGATGCCTCTCCTGTACCCCCTTTTTGTCTACCTCCATCTCAACATGGTCCAAAATGGCCTAAAGAGCACAGTGGACAGTTTCTATAGTCGCTTCCATGGAATGTTCTTGCAGAATGCCAGCCAGAAGGATATCATTGAGCAGTTGCAGACCACCTTAACTATTCAAGACGTCCTCTCCAACTTCAAACTCCGGGCATTTCTGGACAACAAGTATGTCATCCACCTTCAAGAAGACAGCTACAACTTCCTCCTTCGCTACCTCCAAAGTGACAACAACAGTGCTCTCTGCAAAGTTCTCTCCTTGCACATTCACTTAGATGTGCAGCCAGCCAAGAGGATGGACTACCAGCTGTACGCTAGCGGTGGTTCATCACGCAGTGAAAGCAATGGCCTGGAGCCTGCTGACATGCCTGCTTCCATCCTGCAGAACGAGGCAGCCTTGGACATACTGCAGGACAGCATTAAAAGGGTCAAAGATGGGCCTCCTTCGCTCACCACCATATGCTTCTATGCCTTCTATAACACTGAGCAGTTGCTAAACACAGCAGAGATCTCACCAGATAGCAAGCTGCTTGCTGCTGGCTTTGATAATTCGTGTGTGAAGCTATGGAGCTTGCGGCCCAAGAAGCTGAAATCTGAGCCTCATCTGGTAGATGTGTCCCGAATCCGCCTGGCTTGTGACATCATGGATGAGGAGGTCTGAATATCTGGTTACCTTTTGTACATTTGGGAGTGTGGGTGGAGGGCCTAATGGTCATATCGGAATGGTTTACTTGAGGAGTTGTGACCACTTGTTCTAGTGAGCCTGCCAAAGACTACCTCACTGGTTCTTTCCTTCCATTCACTAGTCATAGCTGCCCAACTTGGAGAGAAGTGGTAAGAATCAATAGGTTGAGCTGAGTGAGAATTCAATTCACCATTCAGGTCCCCTAGACTTAATTGTGTGGGAATGTGAAAAGTCCTCACTCTGTTCTGCCTGTCCCAGTTAAAATGTACTTGCATTCACATCTTGATTAGCAGCTGCCCATCTTTTCCTATGGAAAGCTTATATTAATACATCCCAGCTTCAGAAGGGATGTTCAGACTCTATGAGGCAGAGGACTAGAGTGGTGGAGGATATTCATGTTAGGATCATTTGTGTAGTAAAACTTCATTTTTATTGTATTGATTTTTTTTTCACTTAGACCCCACTTTTCACCCCAGTGGGGATCAAGCTTAACATGATTCTCCTCACAACAGTCCTGTGAGATAGGTTAGGGTCAGAGTGTGTGATTGACACAAGACTTCCAGCAAGCTGCTGTGGCAAACTGCGGGTTTGAACCCAGTAAGAGATTATACAAATCTCTGCTCCTGCAGAGGAACACAAAGTGTAGGCAGCTGAGACATTTACAGCTTGATCCTATAAACAGTTACTCAAAAGTAACTACCTAAGTGCAGCCTTACGCTTTGGTTCAGAACTTTGCAAAAGAAGATAGATGTCCTGTGCATTTTGATTCTAGCTTTGCTGTTTGAATGTCTTGCTAGAAACACCTGGCTTACTTCATACCTTTCAATATAGGATTTCCAGATTTCTTTTCTAGCCATCCCATACATCCAGTTTGGAGAAAGAAATATACAGGCTTTCCTTTGTTTCCTTTCTTAATGGTTACCTGGAGTACTATTCCGGATCTCTGTAATGCCATGGTATTGTAGAGGCCTACGGATATATTAAAGATATATTAAATTTTGGGGTAGCTCCTACGACTAGAACCCATGATGTGTGGCAAGTTTTCTGTTTTGAATCTATATTGGAGCAGATACGAGGAGCAGATACTTTTACCCATTAGGAGATTTGGCACATGCAGATAGTTCATCTTGGATTGCTCCTGGCATCCTGTTGCTGTTAGAATCTGTATATGAAGGAGTTCTTGAATGTTTGTGTTTTCCTATATAGAAGTTTTTGTTTCTTTTTAATAATAAGGTTTAATTGAAGATTCTAAATATACTTGAGCATTTTTTGCTCATCAGCAAGGAATAATTTTGCTAACTGGAATTCCTGATCTTCAATTAAAAAGTTAGATCTTTTTCATAATGAAAATATATCCTTTTACACCTTTCTTATAATGGAATGTTTGAATCCCCTGGTATTACAGGTGTTTTAGAACAGAGTGTAGCTTGAGCCCAGAGACTGTGAAGGCTAGAAAAGAAACTGAGCTATGGAAGGGGGAGTGTGTTCTAAGAGATAAATCAACAATTTGAAACAATAAGAAGCTATTTCTCCATCTATTCTATTTTCTCTTCCAAAAAAAATACTGAAAAGCAAGGGGATGTTTTGCTGTCATCTTCTGAACACTGGACAAGCTTTAGGTGGGGCTTTCACTACTACAAAACTTTCTCCTAAATGATGATCGCTCAGGAACATTTTTTGCACAATAGCATTTCCTGACTGAGACTCAGCATTGTTGCCAGTATGGCTGCAATTTAATGGCTATTTATACAGCTGCAGATTTAATCCAGTGAGCAGATTGTTCCACATGGAGATAAGGAGCATGAAGGATGAGAAAAATGTCAGTCACTCATTGTTTTTGTACACATTGTTTTCAGTGACTGTCAGATGTGAACTTGCAGTTCTTGTGGATGTACTAAGAGATGCACAGAATGGTACTTAAGAGTCCATAGCTACATGAGTATTTTTAAAATACTGGGGAAAAGACTGCACCATGGGCCATGTCTCAGTTGAAAAGCATCAAGTTCAATCTGCCCATCTCCAGTTAAAATTATAAGGCAATAGGTGATGTGTAACATCTCCACCTGATACTCTGGACTCTGGAGAGCTGCTGCCAGTCAGAGTAGGCAATACTGACCTTGATAGACCAGTGGTCTAACTCAGTATAAAGCATCTTCATATATATGCGATAGTAAATAGCTATCAAGTCTTCCACAGAGTTTGTAGAGTTCATCAGACAGTGCTGACCTTGACAGACTAATGGTCTGACTCATATGTCTATGTGTGTATGTGACAGTAAAGCCGCCATCATTTATTTGAGGTCCTTGGAAAACTATTGACGTTGGGGGAAATACATGGTCCCTAAAGACTACATTTCTGCTGATCTATTTATTTGTAACCTTGGTGCCCACCTTGTACTTTAAGGGCAACACTGGTCTCAAATGATCTTGTCTGAGCTCTGCAGCCCTTATTGTGCTATCATTTAGGCCTTACTAGTCTGTGTACAGGAGAGGATGATGCTGGTTAATATAAATAAGCAAAGTAGATGGAAAGTAAGTTCAATATCTAGAAGAAACTTTAAACCTGATAAGGTTTACTTAAAAACTTAAAAGTTCAGGGAGTTTTAAAACCGTGGAGAAAATGGACATATATTTACTGCTTGGTTTCCTATCAAACCTAAACATATTTTACTGTTAACAATGTAAAATACATCATTTGTAACTTAGCATATAAAGTTTTACTAGGGTGTATGTATGAAATGTAAAGGTATACATGCCCAAGTTTTTTACAAGCAAAATTGCAAATCTACTCAATACTTGAAAGAGAAAGCTGCAAACTGCTTCACCCTGTGCTACTTTTGCACATTTATGTTAATTTTTCTGTCTTGAGTGGTAGGAAAGAATAAAAGTAAAAAATAAAGGTGAATTTGGATAAAAACATTCTCTTTCATCAACAGTAGAACCACCAACATTTGGATATCAGCTGAAACACTGTAAAACTGGGGGCTCTTAACTTTTCAACGTATTACAAAACATATTATCACAAAACATATTGCAACTCTGTTGACAGTTATAGACACTTAAAAAATAAAGATATCCTTGACAATATAATGTATGTGGCTACAGTTTATATAGGAATTACCTAATGTTTTAGACCGACTTACATAAAAATGTTCACATTACATGTTTTAAATGTGTTGAAAGCCCTGTCTTAAAATACATCACTTATTCCAAAGAAATATTTCCTAAGAGGGTTTTTTTTTCAGTGTTCCCTGAAACTTCAGTATTTCTCTTGGAAGTCCATGGAAGGAAAACTTTTTTCCCAGTTTTTTTTCCTGGTTCTTCACATCTCTCAGAAGGAAACAACAACAAGGACCCAGCAACCCTAGAGAGTAGAACAATACAAAAAAGTTGCCGAACAAGTTCAATATACTTATGCAAAATATTAGTAATTTAATACATATTCTTTTTGTTTCAGTAGCTGCACATCCAGAGACCGAAGTCCCAACAAGACGAACTTGCTCGAGATTTTAGCTGTTCGTTTCGACCAAAGTCTTTGTCACATCTCAGTTTGTAGTCATTCTTTCTGTTCACAAAGTCAATTCACAAGTGGCTGAACACACTTGTGAATTGACTTTGTGAACAGAAAGAATGACTACAAACTGAGATGTGACAAAGACTTTGGTCGAAACGAACAGCTAAAATCTCGAGCAAGTTCGTCTTGTTGGGACTTCGGTCTCTGGATGTGCAGCTACTGAAACAAAAAGAATATGTATTAAATTACTAATATTTTGCATAAGTATATTGAACTTGTTCGGCAACTTTTTTGTATTGTTCTACTCTTCACATCTCTCACCTGCTGATCAGTATCAGTACAATGATACAGTGTATAGTGCGTCAATGATACAATGTACTTTTACCTGAATCTCTTCTAAAAAATTTAAAACAAGTTCCATTTAAAATGCTGTTTTCTCCTTTAAATCCTATTAAATGTTCAGCCAGCAGTTTAAATGTTCTGACCTCTTCTTTCAATAGCTAATACCACTAGAAAGCATTGTATGACCAGTCCTAGATTACACGTCATATTACACTTTGGCCTCCTACCTTGGTTAGAAAAATCTCAAGCTATTACCTCTGTATACCTTGAGCAAATTAAACTGTTTTGTTTGTTCCTCCATTTAGGATGAAGATGATGATAATGTGGGTACAGAAATGAAGGTACTCAGAGGGCACTGTGGACCGGTATATAGCACAAAGTTCTTGTCAGACAGTTCAGGACTTTTGTCGTGTTCTGAAGACACATCCATCAGATACTGGGACCTTGGATGCTTTACAAACACTGTGTTGTATCAAGGGCATGCTTACCCCATCTGGGATCTGGACATCAGTCCCTGCAGCTTATATTTTGCAAGCGGTTCCCATGACCGCACAGCCAGACTCTGGTCATTTGATCGGACGTACCCGCTGCGGATATATGCAGGCCATTTGGCAGACGTGGACTGCATTAAGTTTCACCCCAATTCTAACTACTTGGCAACAGGATCCACGGACAAAACAGTACGTCTATGGAGTACCCAACAAGGAAACACTGTGCGCCTGTTCACAGGTCACCGTGGCCCTGTGCTGTCACTTGCATTTTCTCCAAATGGTAAGTATTTGGCTTCAGCAGGTGAAGACCAGCGGTTAAAGCTGTGGGACTTGGCCTCTGGCATTCTTTACAAAGAACTGAGAGGGCACACAGATAGTATCACCAGCCTTACTTTTAGTCCGGACAGTAGCTTGATTGCTTCTGCATCAATGGACAACTCTGTTCGGGTTTGGGACATTCGGAACACTTATTGCAATGCCCCCATCGATGGCTCCTCCAGTGAGCTAGTTGGTGTATATACTGGACAGATGAATAATGTACTGAGTGTACAGTTCATGGCCTGTAACCTCCTTTTAGTGACTGGAATTGCACAAGAAAATCAAGAACATTAACTTTTTTTTTGTAATGGGGGGTTATTAAAAGCCAGAGTCTATTATAAACTGAGATTATATATAATTGACTGTGAAAAATTTCTTTCTCCCATTGATGGGTATGTCCAGAATGATGGAAATACTGTACTTGAAGATATTTTGCATTGTTACAGAAAGTCAGAGAAGGGAGGCCAATATAACTTTATTGTCATTGTGTGATAGTAGTACAAGGGCAGGACGCAATGGGGGGAAGCCAACAACCCAGAATATTACACTCTAAGGGATAGCCCCAAACCTGGTCTAAACTACCAGATCATCAGCTTGGCATTTGCACTTTGCATATGCACTTAAATATATTCCATTATGGGCACATCCTTCTTTCTGCTAGCAGAGGCTGGTGAGAGTATGTCTGTATCAACTGTTCAACTCAGTTGACTATTTCCCCACTGACTTTTCTGTGGGACCAGAATCCGTGTCATCTTATTGGTTAGAAAACCTGTTTCATTCTAAGGGTGTTCCCCCAAAATAAGTGACATTACAGTAATGCTTAAAATAATGTTGGGGCAGGCTTCCAGCTTGCTTTTAATTCTTTAATTATAAAAAGGCGATTTGAATGTGACCATAGCCTTTCTCTCTGAAGAGATACAATTTGGATTTGATTTGTTAATGCTGGCTATAATATTTGTAGCTGTTGATAGATGGGAAGTTTGGGATTCTTCCAAATATGGTTGCACTGTGACAGTGGCCACTTCTACACTATCACTTACGTCACTCATTTGTCACTATCTCTTTTGGTGTGTCTCCCCCCCCCCCCCATTGTGTTTTGCTCCCTCTGGGACTACTAGAGAGCGAGCAAAAGACATTGGGGAGAAAAACCCTGAAGCAATAGGGAGAAACGAGTGACAAAAATGACAGTGCGGAAGTGGCCAGTAATACAAAATAGTAGATGGTTAACCTGGAAGAAATAAGTAGCTTACCTGATGAACAGAACTAAAAAGAAATGCTTGAGTTTGTAAAAGCATGTTTGGACTCTGAATAGAAAAGGGCACAGTTTACCTCACCAGAAATACTGTCTGCAAATGATAAATGTGCCCAGAAGATGGGGGAAAGTGTTTCTAAATTATTGTGAAAAGGTATGGCTCTGCCAATTTATGATGTTTTCCACTGAATAATGAAATGTATGTTTCATGAAGTGTTCATTCAGGAGTGTGAGCATGCAAAATAAAAGGGTAGGGGGTGGGTGGGGAAAGCAAACTTTAATTTTGTCAGTCAAAGAGAAGATTGAATATTTCTGCTTTCTGGAAAGAGATTTTGTATTTTTGTTTTTCTATTAAAGCATTTAGTTTAAAGGAAGGTTTGGCATCTCTGTTTGGAACTGAGTGGGGAGACGAAAATCCTTTGCCTCCATCAGTGTACTGCTTTGAACCAAGGAGACAAGCTTGTCTGCATGCACAAGGTGGAAAAGTTACTGCTGCTGTCAGGCACTAACCTTTATGAAAGCACTGTCTGCACACACAAGCAGAATGCAGATAATAAATAGCAGGGTTCATGGAGTTCTCAGGGAAGCAGTACGCTGACACTGTCATGTTTAATACTAGAACCAGGTATTTCAGGCATTTTCTGTAACTGCTAAAGGCCAAATTAATGCCTGAAAAGCACCACCTCACTTGTCTAAAGCTACCAGCAAAGCCTATGGGCAGAGTAATCATATGAGCCTACATATCTCCAATCCAAACTGAATGCTTCCTATTGGGCGACAGGGAATTCAGTGTGAACCCAGTAGTCCCTCTAAGATGAGTTAGTGTAAGCTAACTCACAGGTTTTTTAGCCTCCGGCTCACACACTTTTGTCTTACTCAGGAAGGATGGCTCCAGAGCAAACTAATTTATGCAGTAGCCAAATCACTCGCTCACAACTTTCATGCCAGTAGCTCACAAAGTAGAATTTTTGCTCAGAAGACTGTATCTTAGAGGGAGCATTGGTGTGAACATACCTATAGAAGAAATAAACATACTTCTGAGTATGGGAGAACCATAATCAGCCATTTTCTTCAAGAACTGTTGTTGGTTTGAAAGTAAATTCAGGAAGGTGGAAACTTTGGTAAGTATCAGACTCGCTAAAATACAAAGGAATGGCTGTCAATCACCTGGAAATATAGTGCCATGCAGCTCCAAGAGGGCACTGTGGAAGTACCAAATTGGATTGGTACCACACCCACTACCCTGACATCCAATGCAGTGTACTGATTAGTGTGTCTGATTAGGATCACATTCAAGAAAGGGAGTGACCAGAGAATAAATGAACAGGAGAGAGGTGAGTTCAGTAATTTTCAGGTAAATTCGAAGGGACCTATAGTACGAAAGGATGTCTGTAATCTGAGATGTCTTTATACTAATGCACAGAGTATGGGAAATAAACAGGATGAACTTGAACTTCAAATATTGGAAAGTAAGTATGATCTGATAGGTATCACTGAGATTTGGTGGGATGAGTCTCATATATGGAGCACAGTGATTGAAGGATATACCTTGTTCAAACGGAACAGAATAAACAAAAAAGGAGGTGGGTGGCACTATATGTCAATAATGAATACACTTGCTATGAAAGTCAGGATTTCGAGAGTTGCCCTGTTGAAAGTGTGTGAGTAAGGACAAAGCGATAGGAAAAAGAAGGGAATATTGTTGTTGGGGTATACTACAGACCTCCGAACCATACAGAGTAACTGGATGTTTCATTTGTACAACAGCTTGCTAAACTTTCACAGAAACAGGATGTTGTGGTTATGGGAGATTTCAACTATCTAAATATTTGCTTGAAATCTTACTCTGCTAGACATGGGGCATCCTGCAGATTCTTGAATAGTCTTGCGGACAACTTCATCTCTCAGAAGGTGGAGGTGGGAACCAGAGGATCTGCTATCCTAGATTTAATCCTGACTAACAGGGAAGAACTGGTTGATGACGTGAATGTTGTGGGATCCTCAGGGAATAGTGACCATGTCAGCTTGGAATTTGACATAGAGAAGGATGTGAAACCAGGACCTAGTAGGACTTGTATCCTGAACTTCAGGAAAGCTGATTTCAAAAAGAGAAATATTAGGTAGGATCCTGTGGCTGGAAATGCTGAGGGGGAAATCTGCACAAGAAAGATGGGTGATGCTGAAAAATGAAGTGCTTAAGGCACAATCGCAAACTGTTCCGGTAAGAAAGAAAGGTGGGAGATGGGTAATGAAGCCAAGGTGATTAAACAAGGAACTCTCTGAAGAGCTGAGACTAAAAAGGGATATGTACAGGAAATGGAAGGAGGGTCAAATTACTGAGGGTGAGTACAAGAAGCAGGCTTGAATCTGTAGGGATGGTATCAGAAAGGCTAAAGGGCAGATGGAGCTGAGGCTTGTGAGGGATGCTAAAAATAACAAGAAAGGTTTCTATGCCTATGTTTGAAGCAAAAAGAAGAACAGGGATGGGGAAGAACTGCTAGGGGAAGACAGTCAAGCCTTAACAAGGGATGAAGACAAAGCGGAATTACTTAACTCTCACTTTGTGTCGGTCTTTAACCGAAAGGGGAGGTGTATACAAACTGAAGGATGCAGGGCATATGAAGGAATGAGGAACTGCCAGTCCAGAGTAAGTAAGGAAATGTTCAGAGAGCATCCAGCTGCCTTAAATACTTTCAAATTTCCAAGGCTGGATAGCTTGCATCCCAGGGTGCTAAAAGAAATTGCAGATGTTATTTCAGAGCCTCTGGCTCTAATCTTTGAGATGTCCTAGAGTACTGGTGTTGTGCTGGAAGACTGGAGAAGAGCTAATGTTGTCCCGAGCTTCAAGAACGGAAAAAAGACGGACCCAGGAAATTACAGGCCTGTCAGTTTGACATCAATACCTGGAAAAATTCTAGAGCAGATTATTAAACGCTCTGTCTGTGAGCACCTTGAATGGAATGAGTTAATTGGTAGTAGCCAGCATGGGTTTATCAAGAATAAGTCATGCCAGACCAACCTTATCTCCTTTTTTGACAGAGTTACTAAAATAGTTGACTCTGGCAATGCTGTGGATATAGCGTATCTAGATTTCAGTAAAGCATTTGACAAAGTCTCTCATGATATCCTTGAGGATAAGCTGGTTAAGTGTGGGCTGGATGGTGCAACCGTTGGAGGGATTCATGGTTGGTTAAAAAATCGTACCCAACGAGTACTCGTAAATGGCTCTGCGTCAACATGGAGGGAAGTCTCGAGTGGAGTGCCACAGGGCTCAGTCCTAGGCCCGGTGTTGTTCAATGTTTTTATAAATGACCTGGAGGAAGACATAGAGGGGATGCTTATCAAATTTGCAGATGACACGAAGTTGGGTGGGATTGCTAATTCTGAAGAAGACAGTCAGGATTCAAAAGTGATCTAGATAGGCTGGAACAGTGGGCTGAGACAAATAAAATGAGTTTCAATAGAGATAAGTGCAAAGTCCTACACTTAGGTACAAAAAAATCAAACGCACAGATATAGAATGGGAGGGAGTTGGCTTGACAGCAGCACATGTAAAAGGGATCTGGGTGTTCTGGTTGATCACAAGCTAAACATGAGCCTGCAGTGTGATGTGGCTGCGAAGAAAGCTAATGCAATCTTATTATGCATTAACAGAAGCATTGTGTCCAGATCATGGGAGGTGGTAGTTCCGCTCTATTCTGCTAGGGTCAGGCCTCACCTGGAGTACTTTGTCCAGTTTTGGGCACCACATTTTAGGAAGGATGTTGACAAGCTCGAACGTGTCCAGAAGATGGTGAGAGGGTTGGAGTCCAAGTCTTACGAAGAAAGGCTGAAAGAGTTGGGTATGTTTAGCCTGGGAAAGAGAAGGCTTAGGGGGGACATGATTGCAGTCTTCAAGTATTTGAAGGGCTGTCATGTAGAAGATGGAGCAGATCTATTCTCTCTTGCTCCGGATTGCAAGACTAGATCTAATGGGTGGAAATTACAAGAAAGTCATAGCCGGCTAAATATCAGGAGAAACTTCCTAACTGTAAGAGTGGTTGAGCAGTGGAACAGACTGCCTCGGGAGGTGGTGGATGTTCCTTCGCTGCACGTTTTTAAGCAGAGGCTGGATGACCATCTTTTGGGTGTGTTGTAGGGCTATCTTTCGGCTACACTCTTGCAGAATGCAGGGGGTTGGACTAGATGACCTGCAAGGTCCCTCCAACTCTAACATTCTATGATTCTATGATCTGGAGACCAGAATTCAGATCCTGACAGCTATGAAGCTTGGCCCAGTCAAGCCCTTGTATCCTAGTCTATTTTGCAGGGTGGTTGTGACAAAAAAAAATGGAGGGAGGTCCAAGTATGCTACCCTGAGCTTGAAGGATGGGTGGGCTAAAAATATAACAGATAGACAGAACATCTGGTTTTTTGCACTGCAAAAAAGAGGCTTGAAAGTATTTAGGGCAGTGCCTAGTGAAATCTTAGGCAGGAAGATGAGCAGGTGTCAGGGACAGGCTTCAGTCCTCTAGCCCCTTTCCCAGGTTAGCAGAAA